TTCATAACATTGCTTTTCTTTTATTAACAAGAAATATTGCATTCAGTTATTTAATTTAAGATTTCCAAAAATAATGCTACTGAAAGGCATGAATACTTACTTAAATTTGAAATTAATTTAGTTGACTTAAAATAATATTTAAAAAAAAATAAATCTTCATATATACGTCTAACAATCAGACCTTATTAATTTTCTTTTATTTGAACAATATCTGAATTCTGCATTAGTTTGGACTAGTAAATCATTGGACAATTAAATACCAAGCTATAAGAGAACTAATGTAGTTTACAAATGCACTGAATTTTATTTCCTGCATTAACTTTCAAAGAAAGTAAAATTTTCTGCATATTTGCATCATTTGGATTGATAGAATATGGCAAAGCATGCAAAGGCTATCAGTCCTAAAGGGAAGTTATATATTCATGGACGGCTTTGTAAGGAAAAGTAACTTGCATTTCCATTTATTCATGTGTGAGTATATATATATATTTACAGTTGTTAATGCTAAAATCAATGCTTCATTAAAAATTTATTATTATTTTATTTTTAATACTAACATATAGATACAGAATTGTGTTAAATTCCAATACACAATCATAATTTATTTTAAAAAAAACTTATTTTATGATTATATATTATATTACATGAATAAGAGAAACATTTGTCAAGAAATATATTAAACTTGTATTAGCAGATTCATGCTATCCTAGTAACAAGACTATCATACTTCAAAACTGTATTAAAATTGGGCAAAATAAAATCAACCTAAATTCTACATTAAATGTTTAAAAACTTATAAGTATGCAATGGTAGTTATATATACAATATAATAAATTTGTTGTAACTTGAAATAAATTTTGAAGATGGCTATAATAATCTTCCAAAAATATTAATGGAATATTTTGGAAATAATGTACAAAATTTTAGTTTTCTTTTATAACTAGTTTAACGAATTTTTAGAAAAATATTTTAGGTCATTTCCATCTTTTCCCTGTTGATATTGGTATATTAAAATATATGGAATAATTAAGTTGCATCTAGTTAGTAAAACCAAAACATTACGAAAAGTATGATGCGACATATTTTTAATCAATATATAATTACTTCATTTTGGAATTATAACATATTCGTAAGAAATTAATACCATTGAAAAAAAATATTATTACACTAAAGAATAAACGAGATTCTCGACCGCATTGTTCAAGTTTTTGTAATTTTACTTCATAACACACTCGTATATAAACATATTAGACTGAATTATAAACCAAGTATAATTAATTAGGTAATCCTAGAAAAAGAAATAAACTAAACCTAGTAAGCAAAAAAAAAATATATACATTACATTCAGAATTCTAAATGTTTACATAAACTTTTCTCGCAAGGCCTGCCGGGAAAAAGATGTCAAACGTTCTTTGTTCAGACGATTGCAAACGAACGCTAACATGATTAATTTTGTTTTCAACAACCACATTACGTTTCAATTAAATACCACAACAGTGATTAAATTTTGGAATAATTAGCTTATAATAATAATACGGGCAATTTAAGGCGTAATTTATCGGATGCGCAATGACAAAATACTACTATTAGATCTGCATTTGGAATAAATATTCTGCACTCTTTCAACTCATTACGAACACTGATATTAATTAATCGCAAAGCTTAAACGTTTAAATACTTACTCACTACATATAACAGTGCAAAGTGCATGAGAATAATCTGCATAAAATGAAAAAAAAAAATATTTCAAACGTAATTGTAAACATTTTCTTACTTACCTGCGCTATACAACCAACATGCATTCAGCCATGTTTTTTTCTGCAACTAGCTTTCAAACACTTTTCTTCTGATTGGCTGATTTCCAGTCAGTCACGTGATTCTTCCGCGCGGCTACTGAAACATTATCTGTAATGTTACAGGCAAATTAGCTGTACCAGCCACAGTTTGCTTTCAACCTGTTACCGTTACAGGAAATTCTTGTGTAACTTTTTTATTTCTGTAACTTTACAAAACTTTTGCCTGTAAAGAGCGAACTTTTTTTTACAGTGTTGAACTGATACGTGGAATACGTATTCTTGTCTATAATATGCACTTGGCCGTGAAATGTTAATTATTTGCATATCCCAGCATGTTGCACCTTTCATGAAAATTTCAAATTTATTGTAACTTCCTTCATAGTGCAGCAGTTTTAATGGACAACATTGTAAATCTACTTTAAAGCGTATAAAAGTTTATTGTGAGCTCTTATTTATTTTTATTTTTTTGGTCACATATGTCACGATACTTATAAATGATTGCAAACTTTGTAATGCATCCTTGCATTCCAAAAAAGTAAAATCATCTTCATTCAAATATTCATACTCTAGAAAAAGTGCACTTTGGAAGAATGGTAAATTGAGATGACTGAATTTTATTCACATGATGTACAACATAAAATTATTCTTAACGGAGGCCCTATTTCCGAAGTCTGCCAGTTTCGAACAATAACTGGCAATGAGTAAAGTCCTCTATAATTGAGCGCTGGAGAAAGAATCTTCGTTCTTGCGCTTATACATAAGAAAATTTTCTTAATTTTTTTATGTAAACACTAGGAAGGTTTCATTATAAATTCAATTACGCATCTTATTTTTCTTGAAGATGGCTATAATATCTTCTTGTTAGGAGTAAGTAATCCAATGAAAGAACAGGATATCTAAGTAATATAAAAAAACGCATAAAAATCCGAAAGCTGTCAGAATTTAAGTGATTTTTTTAATGTTTTTGGGTTACATTTATTTATTAAACATAATGTTCTTTGCCCATAAACCACATAAAATTCAATTCAACCGCAATGCCACAAAATATTTTAAAACAGCATATCTTTAGAATTTTCGACAGACAGTCTCGCGCGCTGGAGATAAAAATGTTTTTTTTTCGCACAGTGTTGCCATTGTTTGCTTTAAAATCATCGATTTTGTTAATTAAAAATTCGTTAAAGTTTTACATTTACAAAGTATGAAATAGATAACAAAACAAATTCCAAATTCGGGCTTCCAGTTGCCCACGTTCGGGTGGAGGATTATGCTATTCAAAATTTGAAGGCTCTAGGTACCGTCATTTTTTCACAATACGAGGCACATATATAAATTTGTGCAGATTCTTTATTATTTAATTTCTTTAAATATAATACACGGCTCTAATATTTTGGCAGCAATTTATAAAGTGATTCGCCATTTGTTGTGAATCAACACAAAATGCCGTCTTGAGACTAGCTTCTGGGCTACCGCCCCTTTGGGCTAATAATTATTTCTTTTCCTTTTGTAGCCTTCAGATTTAAAAACAATTAATCATAAATGCAGAAAATAAGAGGATATTTGCTCGAACAAGGCTGATAATGGCAGTGATAAACTGTTGATATCATGATGATAAATTGTTGACATCGGGATGAGAACTTAACTTGCTAAAATGCTTTTCAAATTCATATATGTAACATAACTTCACGTAATATGAATAAAGAAGCTCATGCAATGTTTTTGCTTATTTGAGTACTAATAAAATTTAAAACAATCGTGTTCCTCTTAGAAGTAACTACTGTGAAGGCGCTTGTATCTGCCACCAGAGAAATGTTTTTTATACTAACCATTTTTTAGCCCAATGGGGAGTTGGTCTAGAAACCGCATTTTGTGTCGAACCACTAAAAGTATTGAATAAATTTTAAATTGTTGCCACCAAATTTTATCACCCTGTTTTATATTAAAAAAAAAACTAGATTATGAAGAATATACATGAATGTATGTAAGGTTCCCGTACTGTGAAAAAACAACGGTACCTAGAGCCAAGGTCGTCCGTCCGAATATGAGCACCTGGAAGTCGAATTTTGAATTCCGAATTTGCTTCATTGTATATTTCATATTTTGTAAACCTTTAATGACTATTTGGTTAAAACACTCAAAGATCTCAAAGCGAGTAATAGCAACACTGTATAGAATAAAATATTTTTACCTCCAAGTACGCGAGATTGCCTATCGAAAGTTCTAAAGATATGCTGTTTTTAAATGTTTTTAATCCAAATAGGCGTTAGACTAAATGCTCTCGAAACGACTTTTGAAACGTGTATTTGTGTGTAAATAATAAAACACCCCTTTGGGCGTAATATAAAATTTGAAAACATTCAAATTTTTTTTGAAAATTTTTATTGTATTTTGACTTTTCAGGTAATTTCTCTTTGTTTTGGATTACAGTGAATAAAAGCTTTATTTAGGAATATAAATATAAATGAAATAAAAAAAATCTGAAAGGTTTCAGATTTTAAATTACGTCCAAAAGGGCGTTTTTTAACGTTTTGTGTGTTACCTTTATTTATTAAATATCATGTTCTTTGCACTTAAACTATACAATTCGGTTCAACAGCAATGCCGTAAAATAATTTTAAAATGAGCATATCTTTAGAATATCCGATACACAGTTCCGCGCGCTGGAGATAAACAGATTTTTTTCTTTCATAGAGTTTTGCCATTGCTCGCTTTTAAATCGTTGAGTTTGTTAATCAAAAATTCGTTAAAGTTTTACAAAATATGAAATCGATAATAAAACAAATTCCAAATTTCAAATTTGGGTTTACCATATTCGCAGTAGGATTACGTCATTGAAAATTGGATGGCTCTAGGTACCGTTGTTTCATCACAATGCGAGAAACATACATACATTTATGCAGATTCTTCATTATTTACACTATCGCCACAACACTATCGCCCTGTATTATATTTCTTCAAATATAATACAGGGCGATAGTGTTGTGGCAACGATTTGAAAAGTGATACGTCGTTTATAGGGTTCCTACGCAAAATCGCAAAACGTAAACAATAGTCCTTCAGGAACAAATTCCCTTTGGACTAATAATATAAATGGTTTTATTTTAGGAATTAATTTTAAAGTTATTCTCATTATAATAATACTCAAATAATTGCTTATATTTAGATTCTAGATACTTAGATTCTTATCTTAAAACATTTTATTTTCAGCTGGTGTTAAAGCAGTTTTCTTGAACAAGTATGAACAGTTTATTAGGGATTGGGATTTAGATAACTTCTACGAAAAGGAGGAATTCGATACTGATGAATTCGAGAGATTATGGAATGAAAATTTTGCCGATGAAGAATATATCGATCAAAATGACGAGAAATCACCTAAGGAAAACATTACTACTATTTCATATACCCCTGAGTCTAATGCAATTTTATCTGCGACCCAACCATCAACAAATGTAACGGTACTAAAGCAGGAAGAATTATTTACTAATAATAATACGAATGCAAATAGCAACAGTCCGCCAATAGGAAATGATTCCAAGACGATAGACGCTTCAACAGATATGTCTTTTGTTTCAACGCCTGTTATGTTAGATGACACCGACTCCAAAATTCAGCAGAAGCAGTCCACCTATTTTTCACGGAATATATATACTCGTAACACCACTGCTTCAACAGAAGTTCCATCCTTAGCACCAACTTCTGTACCAACTAATTCATCCGAAAAGATCCTTTACACGGCGACATATAGAAGTTACGTATATATAACCTTGCCTTCTATGAAAGCAGCAAATATTCAAAATGAGAGTGAAATTGTTTCAACCGCATCTTCTGTTCCTGAAGACAAATCCACAGAAAGTCCTACTGTTCTAACAGAAACGAATTTGCAAGTAACATCAATGGATGAAATGCGTAAAGCCGTTCCCTCGCAGACAACTTACTTGCAATCCTCGCTACTAGTACCAAAATTTTCAATATATCCCACGATCAAAACGATCAAACTGGATGATTCGACTACAGCTCCACTTGTAGGAACCACAGCAGACATTAATACAGAAACAATATCATCTGGAGAGATGAGAAAGAATATATCCATAACACTAGTTGTTGCAATAGTGTTTCTGAGCACAGGTTTAACTGTTACTGTATTTATTGCTTATATATTTCGAGTTAAATGCAAAAAAATCCACTCTGATATAATAGCATTGATACCATGAACTAGTGATGCGCAGTCCATGTATCATCCTTTTTTAAAGGATTTAAATGTTTATTAAAGCATCCCTGAGAATGTTGAATTCTTTTTTCCAGTCCATCTTAAATGATGCTTTTAGTTATATAGAATTTTTCAGATTTTAAATTGCTGAATATAGTTATTGTTCGACACCTTTCAGATGATGTGCGCAAAACATGCGAAGCATTCCTCACTTTTAAGGTGACTAATTAATTGCTAACTAGTGCTCTTGTCTGCTCTATAAAATAGCATGCGCTTGTAGCTATAGATAAAATACTTTGAGAAAAAAATGAAATAAAAATAATACTCTAAACAAATGAAACAAAAGTGTAATTATTTAAACGATTATGTAAACACATAAAGAGATAATAGCACAGGCTATTTAATTTTGAACATACTACTTTAAATTTCATATACTTTTATATAACCTTTGGTATATATATATATATATATATATATATATATATATATATGAACATATGTTACCGTGAAAGACCGAAATTGGAGATGTCGACTTTCACCGGAGAATGTCAAATTCACCAAATACGTCGGGGAAAGATCGAATATTTCTATTACATTCTTGTACATTCGGACCCTCACTGGTGTATGTCGACAATCACAGATATGCTCTGGTGTAGGTCGAAAAGAGAGGAGTATATGTACACGCTGCCATTTCAAAAGGAAGTGTTCCACAAATAAATGCAGTTGTAAAAGCAAGGGCCTATTGTGCAATTCAAAGTGTCATAATAGTTTAAGTTGTTGCAATAAATAAGATTTGAATCACATAATTTGGTAAGTTTATAACTTCTATTATTTTCCTTTCTCATTTTGAATGTACTGTGTGTTTTAAGTTCTTATATTCTTAAGTTCTTACTCTGAGTCTCAAGTGCGTTTTTTTTCGCGAATGAATTACGGAAAAGGAAATATAATATTCTTATATTTTCAGACATTCACCGGTTAAGTCATAAATAAGAGTATTTGGAAAATATTTCGGACATGCACCAAGCAACTATGTGAATGTTGCTATTCACCGGTGAAAGTCGACATTCCCCAGATTTCGGTTTTTATATTCGGTATATATATATATTCGGTATATATTCGGTCCAGATTCGGTATATATATATTTAAGATAAAATAAACCTGTTGTGGGTACCCATGCACGGCCTATTAAGTTACACAATTTGTTTTTGCTGCAATTCATGTATACTTATTTCATCGAATTATTCTAACCTGAATAACTGATCCCTCAAGGCAAGTTGAAAATGACATAAAAAATTGAAAATTTGGAAATTTAATATACCGGCCAATTTTTGTGTTACGGGAATTAAACTTCTTATAATTTTATTTCTTCAAAACGAAGGCAAAACGTTCCCTAATATAAGTATAGGAACCGCGAAATCCCATTTTTAAAGTTAAATTTCGTTCTTTACCGAAAATTAATTCTTTTAAAAATTTGATAATAAATAATAGTTTCGCCATTTAAAACACTTCTGTGATTGGAAGTATATGACTACGACCAACGATCCCGAAAATAAAGGCAGTAAGGACTTTTAAACCCGTAAAGGGCGTGTCCCCATGCCGGTTTATCTGAGCCAAGGCCAACTTATATATAGTTGTATAAGTTGGCCTTGTCTGAGCTAACTCAGTTCCATGTGTCGACTAGTTCCACTGTTCCTGCAGTTCAGATTTTTCAACTTGCTGCCCTACGGGAAAAAACTGGTTTTGGAGATGGGTCGGCTACGTCAGCTGTGTCCGTTAGCTCAAATAAACCCCAGTGGTAACAACTCTGAAGAAGGTGCGTATATGTGTATTGTTTGTTTCAAATTGTTTGAAATTTTTATAGTTTTGCAGTTACGTAAGAATCGTATGAGATGGATTAGTCTCGAAATGACGCAGTGCAAATAGAGATTACTACTTTTAGAATGCAGAAGGGAATTACGCTGCTAATTTAAATTTTATCTTTTACATATTCTTTATTTTTTTACATATGACCCACCCCCTCTCTTCAAGGAGAAAAAGGTGTAGCAATAGAGGAGCCTTTTTTAAAGAAAAAGCGTTAAAGCAGTAGCAAATGAAGAGAAAAGTAAATCCTAAAATTTTGACAAACAAAAATAATTAATTAAGTAACTGTAAAGTATAATTTTTCTCACTTTAGATTTTTTAAAAAAATAAACGCAATTTTTAGAGTCCTATTGAATTTTTGAGCACTTTAGTTCAAAAGTCTTTCTATTTTAGAGTCCACATAATAATAATTTTTGAAACTGACTTTATGTTTTTGTATCTTGAGATTTCTAAATTAATCTTGAGGCAAATTATTTGTTTAATCTATAGAATTATGAATATTATATAAAATATTTCTTTTCTGCTATCATTAATATTTTTTCCTCAAAGAGCTTTTCTATCGTTAAGTCTGTTTCTTCTTGAAAAGGGAGATATGTAAAACAAAAAAAAAAAAAAAAAAAAAAAAACAAAAAAAAATACGTAACTTTAGGTTATACTTTCTGAAAATTAATTCTATAATCTTCGCATTGCTCCTAATTTCTCGGCCAATCATATTAAAGCAAAACTTTCAATAACAATAGCTACTAACTGAGAAGTCTCTGTTTTTTTCGCCACTTCGCTTTTCCTGCTGACAACGTGTCACGTAGCCTCTGCTAGCTTTCTCCATTGTTTGAGATGTAATGGCATGCCTAAAATTGTGGGGCGCCTTTAGCACTCTTGGTCTTCTATCAGTTATAAAAATATGTGCTAAGAAATTCGTCATCCAAAAATAAATGATGTTTAACTAACAAGCTGGTCGTGCTTCTAAAATTCCATCCCATCATCCACTACGACGCAGTGTCCAGTCCCAGTCACCTACGCAGCACATTTTCTTGGCTATGACTAAAAGTGAATTGTTTTTCTCATCCTTCAAAATTACTGTCGTTGACTGTGGTAGTCGTGCCGAGACCACAGATAAGCATCGTTGTATTATACCGTAGCGTAGGGTTCAGTTGCTTCACACATGTCACCGTCGATCGACGCATAGATGACACCCATTTTTCGTTTGTTTAACAATAAACTTTAATAAGTAAACAATTCTTGATTATTATATATTATATGTACAAGCATGAATAGGTAAGGCCGGCATGGTCTCCGCCGGATGAGAAAAACAATCTCTGCATCATGAAAGAAAATGGCGATTCTCATCCGCCCAAAAAATCTCCGACCGTCCCGTTCGACAACCAGGGTGCCAAGTCCTCTTCGCTCCCCTCGTCTTCTTGTTCGTCCTCTCTACTTCCGTGCAACGAACCACCTGCTCCGTCGGACTAATTATTCCGCTGGCTAGGCTTTTCCTTTCTCCTTCTCGGGTTATCGGCATTACAATTTACAATATCATATATATATATATATATATATATATATATATATATACATGTTTGGTACTGCTAATCGCAATAAAAATGGGAGGTGCACAACTAGATGTTATAGCAGTTCCATATACACAATTTCAACGTTCTACGGCTAATCGTTTTTGAATTATGCAAGATAAACATATATATGCGTACTTACGTACAGAGATCACAAAAAAAAATAATAAATAAATAAAATAAAATAAATAAATAAATAAATAAAAAGAAAACCTTCTGAACTAATTTTAAATGCATTTAACAACCTGTTTCGGAAAAAAAGAGTCCTTCATTCTGTCTGTAGATACAGATATCAAACAAAAAAATCGTCCAAATGGCTTCGGAAAGGGTCAAAATTCATGTATGATACCATTGAAATATGATACCCAAAATGTTTTGCGATTACAATACTTCCTTGTACGAAGTAAAACGTGCATACGTTTCTAACTTTAGTCTGCAATATTCTTTTAAGTCTCATTTTAATTCTGATATTCACTTGTCTGTTCTAAAAATAGTATGTGCTTGTAATATATTGCCCTAAACTGCGTAATTCCAAAATTCATAGCTCTCATATGCTTCGTAAAGCTCATGACGCAGGTAACTCATATAAGGTTTCATGCAATAATAATTTAAAAGCTCAGATATTAGCCATTAAGGTTCCAGAAATAGTTCCAGAAAACTGAAACTGACTCTTTGGGAATGATAACTTTGTCACTTCTGTCCAGATTTCGTTTTTGATGCATGGCATTTATACTTTTGCTCTCTTCTCTTGGCAGCTTAGATACGCAAATGGCTGATGCTTCAAACATATTTGAAAATTACAAACGATATCCTTGTATTTCATCAAGAAAAGGCGATTATTGCGCCAATTTAATTTCAGGTTTAGATTCAGGGTTTATATTTTAATTATCACCCAGAAAGGAATTCTTTTAAAGTTTAATATGGTTTATCAATAGGAATTATCGACAGAGATGGCCCAGATGGAACAGCGAAACATTTTAGACTAACACGGGATCGCGATGTATCTTCTGTATGTTTAAAAAGAGAAAAAAGAAAGTAACTATATAAAAATATTTAATGTTTTTAATTTGATATATCATGAATTAAATGCATTCTTTATTTAAATCAACCAAATTCAAAAGTAACAAAAATAATATTCTTAAAAACTTTATCTATTGCTTTTAAATAGTTTTGTTTGTTAATTAACAACGGACAGATTAAACATGAAAGAATATTATCTTACATTTTTCCGAATGGCAGCAGACTCGAATGAAAAGTGAACCAACGTATTAAAGTAAAACATTGCCAAACCATTGTTTCGAGACTAATAGCCCTTTCGGGACAAAATATTTAACACAGGGATATCTTATAAAGAAACCAATTCACCTAACTCTAAATTTTATCCTTTCGCATTAAACAATACGGAACATTCTAAGTATATTCAGTTTTCATTCTATATCATCCCACGTCATTCTCGGAACATTAGTAAGTGATTTGCAATATTCCAGGCTTAGAAGATATTTAAACTTTTTTGAGAAATATTCATAGAACGCTCTGAGAATATCCCAATTTATGCTATTCGTCTATCTACTGCAAGAAATATATCTAAACTATTTAAGGTATATTTCATAGGGCTGTTCTTTTATACAGTAAAAAAGTCTCTTATTA